TGAGGGGGGAATCCAGGCAGATCAACCTTGGGGTGGGCGAGCCCAGAAGCCAGGAGCCCCAAATTCGGCTTCCCACATTCTCTGGACTATCTAACCCAGCTGCTTTTTTTTTAAGGTTTTTTTTTTTTTTAATGTTTATTTTTGAGAGAAAGAGAGAGCATGTGCTCCAGCATGAGGAAGGGGAACAGAGAGGGAGACAGAGTATCTGAAGCAGGTGCTGCTCTGACAGCACAGAGCCTGATGTGGGGCTTGAACTCACCATGAGATTATGACCCAAGCCAAAGTTGGATGCTTAACCAACTGAGTCACCCAGGCGCGCCGCCCCCCAACTTCTTTTTTATAGTTTTTTGGTCGAAAAATACATTAAATCCATTTTGTATGGTACAGTATACCAAACAGGCAGAGAGCAGAGCCGCACGGAACCACAGCAGAGTATGGTCAGCTCCCAGAAACCCCCTCCGCTGCCCCCACAGCTACCCACTCTCCTGACTTGGCAGATGTGTTTCCTTGATATTCTGCACAATTGTTGTGGGTTTTTTTTTTTTTTATGCTTATTTATTTTGCGAAGGGGGGAGTGAGCGAGGAGAGGCAGAGAGAGAGAAAGGGAGAGCAAGTGAGAATCCCAAGCAGGCTCTGCACTGTCAGCGCTGAGCCCAGCATGGGGCTTGAACTCATGAATGGTGAGATGGTGGCTTGAGTCGAAATCAGGAGTCGGACACTCCACCCCCTCGGGTGCCCGGGTGCCATGTCTGCCCAGTTTCATAAGCAAGATGTGCGCCCCGCCGCAAGTGGTGCGATGTTGCCTGTTCTGAACGCACTGTGAATGGACCCAAGCTTGATGTGTTGCTTTGAGTCCAGCTTCTTTCATTTCACAGTGGCCTCCTTACACTCTATCCCTGTTGTACGCTTCGTTGTTAGCGGAGGAACATTCTGCTGTGTGCATTTACCGCCATTCATCCATCCGTTCTCCTGCGTGCGGACCCGGTCTGTTTCCAGGGGGTTACTGTGAGTGGTGCAGTTGTATCTGTCCTTTGGTAAACAGGCGCACTCCTTGCTGTTGGGGTGTGTGGAATTGCTGGGTCATGGGGTAGGCATGTATCGAGTTTTAATTTTTATTGCCCGGCGGTTTTCCCTGGTGGTTGAACCATTTTATACTTCCACTGGGAGGTATTCCTTTGTATCCTCGTCAGCTCTTGGCATTGTCAGTCTTTAAAATTTCAGCCGTCCCGGTAGGTGATTTTAATTCACATTTCCCCCTAACTGATGAAATTGTGTGTGAGTTTCCTCCCTTGTGACGTGCCCTTGCCCTTTTTGCCTTGCTTCCCAGGCGGCTCACCTTGAGCCTGCAAGCTTCAGCTCTGGCCCAGGCCCTCAGCAGACTCAGGCCTGGACGCTCAAGGAAGCAGCAAGTGGAGATGAGGCCATACATGCACTCCGCACCGTGGGGCATGTGGCCCGCGGGCCGGTGGCCAGGGGAGGCCCTTGCTGACACCTGGCTTCCAGAGGCTGTCCTCTGCCCTCCCGCCTGGGTGTCCTCCATAGGCAGCTCCCCAGGGAGCAGGCCATCCTCTTGGCTTTGGTGCCTGGTGTTTCATCACCTCGGGACTGCGTCACAGACACCTCAGCTGAGGCGCCACCCTCAGTGGGAGGACGGGGCAGGCTCCAGGCGGGACGCAGGGGATCTTCCAGTTCCTCCCCCTGCCCTTGCTCAAGCTGCTGTGGGCTGCTTAGTTGCCGAAATGAGAACGTAAAATGTGGCCCCAGTGCGCCGAGCTGCGGCTAGGCCTTCGGCCCCTCAACCGGGACACCCAAGGCAAACGGCTTCCGCCCTCCCCTGGGCACGGGCACGGCCCTGCCGCGGCGGTGGAGCCTTCAGGAGAGACTCCGTGAGGGCACCGGCACCCTGCTCGTTCAAGGCCGCCCAGCTGGCGGTGGCTCCTGGACCCTGCAGCCCTGACCGCCCTTGGCCACACGTGGCTGCCTTCGCGTTTCTCTGAGCACGGTGACTACGTGTTGGCTGCTCCCCGGGGGCCGGGCAGCAGGCTGAGCCTCCGCACGCGGCAGGTGCCCCAGAGCAGCCCACCGCCCCGAGACGCGCAGAATCACTGAGGTGAAGTCGTGGGGCTGGAAGGGGAGGGGAGAGCCGAGCGTGGACACCAGGCCCCCAGTCCTGTCCTTCCAGACCCCCCCCCCCCCCGGTTTTTTGGAATTCCTAAACAGAGCGGTCCCGGGGAAAGCTCAGTGTTGGTGCCGCTTCAGGGGAGGAATTCTCTAACCCGCCACCATCACATGGCACCAGGCCCTTGGCGTTCCTCCCCAGCCTCCCCACCCCCCTGCTGGTTCCTTACCCTGTAGCCATACCAGCCCCTTGGCAGTTCCTCACACTCTACAAGTACTTCCTGCCTCAGGGGCTTTGCACTTGCTCTTCCCCTGCCTGAAATTCTTTTCCCTACTTGTCAGCATCGCTCCCTCCCTCTGCACTTGTCCCCCACACCACACGGCTAACATAGCGCCCCGTATTCCCTGCCACCCTTTCCCCTGCTTTCCTTTTCTTCCCAGCACCTCGCCACCAGCTGGTAGCCTTCGGTGTGTACTCGTGTGCTGACTGTCCGCCCCACCACAACGTGAGCTCCGTAAGGGCAGGGGCCGTGTCTTACTGAGGATTCATCTCTGGCGCCCAGGACAGTGTCTGGAGCTTAGGACATGCTCAGAGAAGATCGGTGGTGTGAATAGACCCTGGACATGTTTTTGTGGCTCTGTCTGGTCCCGGGCTGGGAAGCTTTGGGGGATACTTGGGTTCATTTATTGTGTTCTCGGTAGCTATCCAGATGCTGTGCCGGTGTGCTAAATTAGCACCTAAGTAGGTGTTGGGAGCATTGGCTGAGGAGGTGCACAGAAAGCACCAAGGCAGCCTCTTAAGGTCATGAAGGCTTCTTGGAGGAGGGAGAACCCACAGAAGGTACAGGGCATGGAGGCCAGAGGGAAGGGTCTGAGGGACAGAAGCCTGGTAGGAGGGGTATGGGGAGGAGGGGCCGGAGAGGTGGGTAGTACTGGCTGTAATAATCATTGTCTCGGTCGTAAAGTTTTATTGAGAGCTTCTAGGTGACACTAGGCTCACGATGGAAAGGATTTTGTTCTGTCTCTGAGCGTACTGGGGAACCCTGGAAGGGGTTTTAACCTGGAGGGCTGGGGCTGGGTCTAGATGGAGTGTGTGGGTTGAGAGCAGAGGCTCAGAGCCCAGGGAGAAGGCCAGGGAGGCTGGGAGGGGTGTCAGGAAGTGCGTGGATGGACAGTCAGGACGACTGGGCTGAGCGGGGGTGGGAGGCAGCTAGAGTGAAGGTCAGCAGAGGCCGGGTCCTGAAGCGCCTTGAATCCCAAGCGAGGGAGCTTGGCTTTTTCCCGAGGCCAGAGGGAAGCCACGGAGGGGTTTGGAGTGGGGCAAGGACACGGTCAGGTTGGAGGGGTCTAGCTGCTCAGAGGGGGGCAGATGAAAGGGAGCAGTAGCAGAGCAGGGATCTAAGGAGGACATGGGGGGGGGGCCTTGAGGGAGAGGGCGGCACTGGACATGAGCCAGCGAGGCAGGCCACCGTGGTGGAGGGGGAGTGGGGGAGGCGGGGCAGGTGCAGAGACTGGTCATGCTGGAGGCGGAAGCCCGGGCTGGTGGGACGTTTAGGATGGAGGGTCTGCGGCCCTGAGCGTTCCGTCCGTGGGGCATGAACCACAGTGCCGGGCACGCCTGGCGCGGGAGGGAGCCCCCGTTGCTTGCTCCTGGCCCTGCCTTTGCAGCTCAGAGTCCAGAACGTGATTTCTCACCCCGCTGTTTACTTCCCCGTCACTGTCCATCTTGTCTTTCCTTTCGCTTCCTCCCACTTACCTCCCTTCCCGGCCCGGGCAGCCTGCCACTGTCACATGCCAGGCAGTAGTGCGTCCAGCCCACCAGCTCCCCTGGGGCATGAGAGAAAGCCGATGCCCGCAGTGTCCCTAGAGCCAGCTGCCACTTCTCCGGGGGCCGCTGTGGCTCCTGACCTGCTGTCCGCAAATAACCCCAGGCCGGGAAAGGCGAAAGGCGCCTTGGGCTCCGTGGCCCCTGTCCAGGCCTGTGGCACCAGGTAGGGGCCCAGCGGGTGGCTGCCTCCTGCCCTTCTCCCTTCCACCCTGGGAACCTGAGACGGAGCCGGAGGCCTTGGCGTCTGTCAGTCTGTCGGCTGCTAGTCCCTGAGGACGGAAGTGGAGGTCTTGGGGAAGGGACCACGGCCTCTGTTGAGCCCCCAGGACTGACTCCTAAGCCCCAGACACGCGCGTACGCAGTAGGTTGTCGTCTCTTTCAAGATCCTAAACGTTAGAGACTTGTCTTCCCTCAGTCGTCCGGTGGGGGCAAAGAGGGGACCGAGGGTGAGGGAGGGATTTGGGTGGCTTGGCCCAGGGGGTGCCACTTGGTTTGCTAAGCGTGGTAGGTTGGAAGGAAGGGAGGGGTGGAGGGAGAGTGTGTGCGTGTGTGTGCACGCGTGTGCGTGCGTGTGTGTTGGGGGGGTGGCAGCCAGACGCTGGTGGCTTTGAGCAATCCCTCCACGGCCCAGGGCTGTCTGACTCATCCCAGGTTACCTCAGCGTGGGGGCCTGGGAGTGACACGGGGTGGAGCCGCAGCCTTCTTTCCTCTGGCCCAGTGTGGGGTGCAGGTGGGAGGGAGGGCTGCTCTGCTCTGCAAGGCCTGCACGGGGGCCAGGGAACCCCAGAGTGAGGCTCTGACGGCAGGGTCGTGCTGCCCCCAGTCCCCAGTTGGAGTCCCTGAGGACAAGGCCACATCTTCCCCCTCAGACTGGGCCAGGTGGGCAGGGCTCCCTGTCCTTGCCGGCTCCACCTGCATGGCACCTGCAGAGCAGCTGGGGTGGGGGTTGGCCCCCCTGGCCCCCTCCTCCCCCCAAGAGCCTGGCCGCCCTGAGGGCAGGGGGCTGCGGCCTAATCCCCCTCGCACTCTTATGGGCTCTTGTCTTGTCTTGCAGACTGTGCTCTGTCCACTGCGCCTCCTGCATGTCCTGCTGCCCTGAGCTGTCCCAGGCTAGGTGACAGCGTGCTACGCTGCCACCATGAACGAGGTATCTGTCATCAAAGAAGGCTGGCTCCACAAGCGCGGTAAGGGGCTGCTCCTGTCCCCTAGATCGTGTGTCTCCCATTTTGCCTCCTCCTGGCCACTGGCGCCCGGTGAGGCTGAGGCTCAGGGTCTGTACAGCCGAGGAGCCTGCGTGCTGGGCCCGCCTGCCTGCCCCAGGCCAAGAGCCCCTTACAAGCCCGCTGCACGGAAGCTCCTTCAGCAGCCTGAGGAGCTGCAGGTCTGCCTGGCGCTGAGCATCCAGGCCTGACCCGGGCACCTCGCGTGGTCCCCCAGGCCAAGCCTCAAGTCTGCCTTGGATTAGCGGTCTCATTCATAGTCCCATTTTATATATGAAGAAACTGAGGCTCAGAGAGGGGAATTCACTTCACTGAAGTAACACAGCGGGGTGATAGTCCATATTCCTTCCTTAAGCATGTCCTCACTGAGTGTGTGTGCTGTGCCGGGCCATCCCAGGGTCCCAGGCTCCTGGGACACATAGTGCCCTCATGGAGTTTCCATTCCAGTGGGGTCTGGGGATGGTGAACAGAGAAGCAGACCTATGATGCCAGGGGGTGATCAGTGCTGTTGTGAGAAGTAGGAACTCTGAGGGGAAGCCGCTGGGAGGACGGGACAGCAAGCAGAGGCCCGGAGGAGGTGAGCGCGTGAGCCACACACAGAGCGGGGCAAGGGGTCCCAGGGAACGGGGCAGCAGGGGTGAAGGCGGGAGTGTGCTTGGGTGAGTTGGCCAGGGTAGCTGGAGCAGAGAGAGCGAGGGCGAGCTGGGTGTGGCATCCAACTGTGCCGGGCCCTGGAGCCCCTGGGAAGGACCTTGGCTCTAACCCTGCGGGAGATCTGAGCCCAGCGCCCCTGGAGCCGGGGCACGGCCTCCTCCGCTTGTGCTGGTGGGCGGCTGAGGCCTAGAGGAGTGAGGCCGTCACAGCGAAGATGCTAACACCCTGCGTCGTGAGAACCCCAGGCCTCCCGTCCCCAGAAGTGTGGCACTTACCCGCTTGGCGGTAGTGGCTCTCTGTGCACATGCATTCAGTCAGCAGACGCTTCCTGAGCAGCTGCTGTGCGCCAGGCACCGGCGACTCAGCAGTGAACCAGACAGGCCAAGAGCCCCCTCGTTGTGTTGACGGCCCTCGTGTGGTGGGGAAGGGGGCGTGGTACCCACGTGGACCAGCGTAGACAGTGCTGATAAGGGCTGTGGAGGGAAATGGAGCCACGTGAGAAGGGGGTGTGGGAGGCAGTAGGGGGAGCTGTCAGAAACAGGGTGGGCGGGGAGGGCATCACCGAGAAGGGACATTTGATAAGGATGTGCAGGAGCCCCGGGAGCAGGCCGCACGCTGACTGGGACAGGACAGTGCAGGTGAAGGGGCGGCTGTGAGTCCGGAGAGGGCGTGGGCCAGGCATGTTCGCACGGGGCCCTGCGGGGACCGGGAGACTCGTTCACCTGTCCTGCCCTGTCCCAGGCTGCAGACACAGCGGTGGTGAGGAGTGGAGGTGGTCCCCAGGGCCAGGCCATCAGACTGAGCCGGAGAGACCTGTTTCCCACGGCCGTTTCAAGGCAGGGGTGGTATTTGAGGCACCTTGGTCCACCTGCCTAGGGTGGGCCCTGAGTCTGGGGCTGTCAGTGGAACTTTCTGAACCTTGGCAGATGTCAAAGTTCTAACCCTGGCTCTGCCACTTCCTCTTGGTGACTGCAAGCAAGCTGTGTCACCTCTCTGAGTCTTAGTTTCACATCTGTAAAATGGGTTAACAACCCAGGCCTCTGACTTACTCCATTCCCCGAGGGCAAGGATTTTATCTGACTTGTTCCCTGTGGTATCCCCAGTCCCCAGGACTTTGTCTTTGGTCTAGGGCTGCCGATGGCATTAAATGGGCTTTAGCCCCTCGGAGGCCTTAGGTGCCTCCATGCACACCGCAGGGGGCCAGGGGAGCTGCTGGGGCGGCCCAGCTGGGACGCACCCATCTAGGGTTCGCACCAGGCGCACACAGATGCGTGTCACTCCTGGGCCTCCCGTTGCCCGCCGCCCTAGGCCCAACATGGGGCTTGAAATCGCCACCCCGTGATCAAGAGTTGCACGCTCTACCAACTAGGCCAGGAAGGTGGGCACCTGTGCCATCTCGCCCCACCTCTGCTGGTTAAACTAACAGAGCCCCAGTTTACCATGTGCCCATTCTGTCTGTGCCAGGCACGGGCCTCTGCTCCAGGCAAGCCCAGCTCGGGTGTGTTTCTGTAGCTGCCCTGTGAGGTGGGAACTGAGGCTCAGCAGGAGGACTGACTTGCCCCAAGTCGCAGCAGAGAGGCGGCCCTCTGATTGCAGAAACCGTGACCTCCAGGCCTGGCCCACAGCGACCTCTTGCTAAGCAGGGGCTGTGAGAGCAGGTGAAGTGAGAGCGCAACTCTTGGAGTCACTCAGGCCACGTGTGTGACTTTCTGACATGGCCTTGGCACACCCTCTGCCAGTCCCCAGCAGGCCAGCCACTGTCTGCCAGCTTTGAGGCAGACAGTGTAGTTGTTAAGAGTGTAGACTCTGGATGAAACAGACCTGGGTTCCAATCCTAGCTCTCGCAGTTCACACCTGAGCCTCAGGCAAGTAATAAAACCTCTCTGGGCCTCAGTTTTCTCTTCTGTAAAATGGGATTGTTGCGAGGATATTTTTCCTGTCCTAGGTTTCTTTTCTTTTCCTGCCTCCCTCCCTTCCTTTCTCAGTTTATTATCAATATATAAAACACCACAGGTAAGTGCCTGGATCATAAACGCACTCCAAAACCAGTGTCTGGAAGCCCCCTGCCTTTCCCAAGCAGTAGCATTTTTTCCTAACTTCCAGTAGCCTTAGGTGAGTGTTTCTGGGTTTTTTTTTTTGTTTTGCTCTTTAAAATAGAGGTTAGGGGCGCATAGGTGGCACTGTCGGTTAAGCGTCCTGAGCATTTGGCTCAGGTCATGATCTCACAGTTGGGGAGTCCAAGCCCTGCATCAGTTGGGCTCTGCACTGACAGTGCAGAGCCTGCTTAGGATTCTCTTTCTCTCCCCTGCCGCATTTGTGTTCTCTCTCAAAATACATAAATAAATAAATAAATAAACTTAAAAAATAAAAATGAAATAAAGTTGAAGTGAAATTTACATAACACAGAATTCACTGTTTTAAAATGTACAGTTCAGTAGCCTTTTAGTGTGTTCACAGTGTCATCACCCTAAAAGAAAACCCTGTGCTTAATAAGTGACTTAATAAGTCACTCCCCCCATCCCTCCGCCCAGCCCCTGGCAGCCACCAATTTGTTTTCTGTCTTCAAGGATTTACTTTACTACAGCCAATTCGTATAAAGGAATCATACAATAGGTGGCCTTTTGTGCCCGGCTTCTTTCACTTAGCATTACGCCTTTGCGGTTCACCCCTGTTGTAGCGCTCATCGGTATTGCTTTGCTGCTTCTGGCCAAAGAATATTCCACTGTATGAAAGTACCATGTTTAGTTTATCCATACATCAGGTGTTGAACATCTGGGTTATTTCTACCTTGTGGCTATTGGGAATGGTGCTGTATGAACACTTGTGTGTAGGTATTTGAGTACTTTTGTTCTTTTGGGTATAAACCTAGGAGTGAAATTGCCGGATCGTGTGTTCTCTATAACCTGTATTTATACAGGTTATATAAATGGGGTCACATGTTCTCTAATTATAATTTAATATATTCTGTGTGATAAGATGATATATGTATTTGTGTGTACGTGTATCAGGGTTGTATATTCTGTGTGTATAATCTATAACATGTTCTATTTTTGAGTTTTTGAGGAAGCACCACACTTCCCCACAGGGCTACATCATTTTACATTCTCACTAGCAGTGCACAAGGATTTCATTTGTTCACATCCTTACCAGCATTTATTCTTGTTCTTTTCTTTTCTTTCTCTCTTAAATTACAGTCCTTCTAGTAGGTGTGAAGTGGTACCTCATCATGGTTTTGATTTGCATTTTTCTAGTGACTAATGATGTTGAGCATCTTTTCATGTGCTTGATGGCCATTTTTATATCTATAGAGAAGTGTCTATTCAAGCCCTTCACCCATTATTGAATTGAACTAATTGTCTTTTTGTTGTTAAGAACTTTTTATATATTCTGGATTCTAGACCCTTTTTTTTAAATGTTTTATTTATTTTTGAGAGAGAGATAGAGACAGCATGAGCAGGGGAGGGTCAGAGAGAGAGGGAGACACAGAATCTGAAACAGGCTCCAGGCTCTGAGCTGTCAGCAGAGCCTGACACGGGGCTCGAACCCACAAACCGTCAGATCATGACCTGAGCTGAAGTCGAATGCTTAACCAACTGAGCCACCCAGGCGCCCCATCTGGATACTAGACCCTTAATCAGATCTATGACTTGCAGATATTTTTGCCCAGTCTGTTGGTTGTCCCTTATTTTCTTGATAATGTCTTTTGCACAAAAGTTTTATTCTTAATGATCCACTTAAATTTTTTTTAAGTTTATTTATTTGGAGAGAGAGAGAGAGCAAGCGCGCACACACAGGCAGGTGAGGGGCAGAGAGAAGGCAGACAGAATCCCAAGCAGGTTCCATGCCATCAACGCAGAGCCCGATGAGGGGCTCAAACTCACAAACTGTGAGATCTTGACCTGAGCCGAGATGAAGAGTCAGCCGCTTAACTGACTGCACCCCCCAGATGCCCCTTAATTTTTTTCTTTTATTGCTTTTTCTTCTGGTGTCGTATCTGCAAATCCATTGCCAAACGCAGGGTCATGAAGACTTACTCCATGTCGTCTTCTAAGAGTTTACCATTTTAGCTCTTAAATTTAAGTAGATTCATGTTGAGTTAATTTTTGTATATGGTGTGAGGCTGGAGTCCAGTTCTGTTCTTCTGCGTGTGGGTGTCTGGTAGTCCCACACAATTTGTTGAAGAGACATGGACTAGTCTCTGCACTCTTGTTGAAAACCGATTGGCCAGAGGTGTGTGGGCTTATTTTTTGACGCTCAGTTCTATTCCATTGGTCTGTTTGCTTATCCTTGGGCCTCATTAATTGACTACTGTAGTTTTGTAGTGAGTTTTGAAGTCAGGAAGTGTGAGTTCTTTTACTTCGTTCTTCCTCCATCTCCCAGTACTGTTTCTGTCTCTTTTGGACCCTTTGCCATGTGAATTTGAATTCCGTGTAAATGTGAAGAGTGACTTTTCTATCTCTGCAGATTAGGTGGTTGGAATTTTGATAGGTGCCATGTTGACTCTGTAGGCTGCTTTGGGCAGCATTACCATCTTAACAGATGAAGCCTTCCGATCCGTGAGCACAGGATATCTTTGTTTTTGTTTAGGGCTTTAACTTCTTTCAGTGGTGTTGGGTAGTTTTTACTATGTACATCTTTTGCCTCCTTGTGCTATTGTAAATGGAATTTTTTTTTTTTTAATTTCCTTTTTGGATTGTTCACTGCTGGTTCATTGTTCACAGCTGGTGTTTTTGTGTTGCTCTTGCTGAGGTTATCAGCTCTGATCATTACCTTTTGGCTTCCTTGTAATTTCTCATACTTAGGATCATGTTATGCACACATAAAGATTGTTTCACTTGTTCCTTTTCAAGTTTGATGCCTTTCATCTCGTTTTCTTCTTTTTGTCTGACTAGAACTTCCAGCGCCGTGTTTAGCAGCAGCAGTGAAAGTAGACCTCTTCGTTTTTTCCTGAAGTTTAAGGAGAAAGTTTTCGGTCTTTCATCATTGAATGGTGTTAGCTGTGAGTTTTTTATAGATGCCCCTTATCATGTGGAGGAAATTCTCTTCTGTTCCTAGCTTGCTGAGTATTTTTATCATGAAAGGGTGTTGGATTTTGTCAAATACTTTTCTGCTGCATTCAGAATGGTCATGCGGTTCTCCCCCCTTGTTTGATTAACGTAGATTAATTGTGTTGATTGGTTTTCATATGTTGAACCACCTTTGCATTCCTGGGATAAGACCCACTTGGTCATAATCCTCCCTTTGTGCTGTTGAATTTGGGATTTTGCTAGTTGTTGTCGTTTTTTCCTTTTTTTTAATTTTACATACATTGAGTCATTTAGTTTCTACCCTGGAAAGAATTTAAGAAGTTAAAACCCAGAAGATACTTAGGACAGTGCCCGGTAGAGAATGTTTCCTCATCATTGTCATCAATTAACGAATATCCCCATGAGAGGAGACAAAGACTCAGAGAAGTGAAGTGACTTATTGGAGGCCACACAGCACACACAGCTCGGGGTCCACCCTGTGATCCCAGCCCCTGCACACCATGTGGGTCAAGGGCCTGGCGCAGTCTTGGCTTGCTTGCACAGGGGACGGATGATAACAGCATTTGTTGAGTCTTTGTGGGGTGTTGGACCTTAACTAATGCTTTATGCTTGCCGTCTTGTGTCTTCTAGCAGCTTGGGCTGTAATCGACATACCATACAGTTCAGCGGCTTTTAGGGTATTCAGAGTCATGTATCCAGCACCGCAGTCCATTTTAGAGCATTTTCACGACCCTGAAAAGGAATCTGCCCTCCCCCGTGGCCATTCCCCTCCAGTCTCCCTCCAGACTACGTCCTCCCCCACCCCCAGCCCTAGGCAGCCACTAATCTGCTATGCACCTATAGATTTGCCTACCCTGAACATTTTATATAAATGGAATCCTATAATTTGTGGTCCTTTGTGACAAGCCCTTTTCACTTAGCTTAAGTTACGGTTCATCCATGTCTTAATAATTTCTTTTTATGACTAATACCCCGTTGTATGGATATGACTAATACCCCGTTGTATGGATATGCCGTGTTTTGTCTGTCTGTTCATCAGTTGATGGACTTTTGAGTTTCTGGTTTTTAAAAAAATTTTTTTAATGTTTATTATTTTTGAGAGAGAGACAGAGAAGAAGCAGGGGAGGGGCAGAGAGAGAGGGGGAACCAGAACCTGAAGCAGGCTCCAGGCTCTGAGCTATCAGCACAGAGCCAGACGTGGAACTTGAAATCACGGACGGCGAGATCTTCGCCTGAGCGATATCGAATGCTCAACCAATGGAGCCACCCGGGTGCCCCTTGAGTTTCCACTTATTACAATTATGAATAATAACATTATAAACATTTAAGCACAGGTTTTTCTGTCGGTATATAGATAAGATGGTGATCTTATTTTAAAAAATTTTTCATGTTTATTTTTGAGAAAGAGATAGTGCGAATGGGGGAGGGGCAGAGAGAGAGGGAGACCCGGAGTCTGAAGCAGGCTCCAGACTCCAAGCTTTGAGTACAGAGCCCGACCCAGGGCTTGAACTCAAGAACCATGGGATCATGACCTGAGCTGAAGTCAGACGCTTAACGGACTGAGCCACCCAGGTGCCCCTCACCATCTTATTTTAATCCTTAGAAGCCCTCTGAGGAGTGGGTCCTTGCAGTGTGGATGTGTGTACTCGGGGTGCTTGGATATTCGTGGTTAGAACAAATGGAGGCAGTCAAGGGGCACTCAGAGGGCACAGCAACAGTCATACCCTGCCTGGCACAGTGTTTTGACATTTGATCCACCTGCACGGCTGTCCTGGTGAATACCAGCCCATGGGATTTGGCCTTACAGGGCCACAGGGCATGTGTGTTTGGAAGCCTGGGCCTCCCCTGGGACCGGGCCACGCGCTGGCAAGGATGGCCGGGATGGCTTGCCTCTGGCCGCACGCTGAGGCAGCTGGTGCCCTGGGGCTCTGCAGCAGGCGCCTTCCTGCCAGGCACGACCTCTGGATCACTGGGGCCCAGCCCAGCACCCAGCCTGCGTCAGCAGGGGCTGCCCGAGGGGTTCTCCGGGAGAGGAATTCTCCTCCCTGCCCTCTCATCGGCCATCCTCCCACCCAGGTGCCCTTTGTGAGGTGCTGTCCGCCTGCCCTGACCGCTCTCCCTCCCCCTGCCTCTGCTCAGGTGAATACATCAAGACCTGGAGGCCCCGGTACTTCCTGCTGAAGAGTGACGGCTCCTTCATCGGATACAAGGAGCGGCCGGACGCCCCAGACCAGACGCTGCCCCCCCTAAACAACTTTTCTGTCGCAGGTGCGTGTCTGGGTACGCCACGCCAGAGTTCGGGTGCTCAGGGAACCGCTGGCAGGTTCCAGGGGCACGTGGGGGTTGGCCTTGCTTGGGCGCCAACCTGTCCAGGGCCTGGGCGCCCTCGGGTCCATTTCCTACCCTTCCCCACCTTTGTGTCAGCTGGGCCTCCGGAGGGAGGGCTGAACTGGTCGCCAGCGGGGAGGAGGAAGAAGGGAGAAGCCGGGCATTTCCCCGGCCCATCGCCCCAGGCAGCGCAGCCTCTGCGCTTCTGCCTCTGTGCTTCTGAATCGGCTGGCAGGCCCGTGGTTCTGGCTGGTGTCAGGCGTCTGCCGTCCTGCTCTCTGGGAATGGCCCACTTCTCTGTCCCTCTCACATAAGACAGCGTGGCTTCCCACTCAGCTGATCGCAGGGCTGACCACATCCTCTGTCCCCCCTGTGCAGCCTTTCAGTGGTGACAGGTGGTGCCTCTCAGTGGACCCCGGCCAGGGAAAGCTTAACAGGCCCAGCTCCCTTGCCTGGCCTTGCAGTACCACAGTCCTGCCCTCGACCCCCTGCTCCCTCCCTTCCCTGGTGATCTGATTGGTCACCGTGTCCTCATTGTCCCACCTCCTAAGCACATTTCAAAGAAACCCCGCCTCTCCTGCAGCTCCTCAGCCCCGACCACTCTAGGTCCGTCCTACCCACCGGGTCCCAAACTGGCCTTCGGGTCTCCCCTCCCCTAACCCCCTCTACCCTGTCTCCGTCTCAGGGAGGGCCCTCTTTTTTTTTTTTTTTTTTTTTTTTATGTTTTTATTTATTTCTAGGAGAGAGAGAGAGACAGCGTGAGCAGGGGAGGGTCAGAGAGAGAGGGAGTCACAGACTGAAACAGGCTCCAGGCTCCGAGCTGGTAGTCAGCACAGAGCCCGACGCGGGGCTCGAACCCACAAACCGCGAGATCATGACCTAAGCGAAAGTCGGAAAGTCAGACGCTTAACCGATTAAGCCACCCAGGCGCCCCAGGGAGGGCCCTCTTGCCTCCCAGTGTGCAGGCCAGAGACCTGGGCCTCATCCTAGTGACTCCGCTCTCATGTAGCCCCGGCCTCCTCCCAGCCTCCCTTCTCTGTCACTGTCCACAAGGCAGCCATAGGGATCTGTCCAAACCTCTTCATGGCCCTTTCCTATCGAAAGCCTCCCATGGCTCCCTGTTGCCCTTAAGCCGAAGTCCAAGTTCTTCACCGTGCCCCCGCCCCGGCTCTGCAATCTGGCCACTGTCCCTCTCCATCTGCCTCCTCACATCTGGAGCAGGATTCGCCATTCCCTCACTGTGCTCCACCCTTTACCTCCGGGCTTCTGTATAGGACGCGCCCTTCTGCACGACCTTGAGGCTCAGTGCAGAGGTGCCCCTTCCTCTGGGACACCCCCTGAGCTCTGCGGGGATCGGCTGCCTCCTGGGCTTCCCCTGTGACTGCTGAGCTGTCCCTCCCCGACACACGCTGGACCTGGAGCCCCGCAGGGACAAGGCCAGGGCTGACTCAGTCACTAACGTATCCCCACACCATCTGGCACACAGGAAGGCAGCTCGGGGTTGTGGGCTGTGGGCCGGCGGGGCTGTCCCCTCACCCTCCCACCTCTGTCTGCCTGCAGAGTGCCAGCTGATGAAGACCGAGAGGCCACGGCCCAACACCTTTGTCATACGCTGCCTGCAGTGGACCACTGTCATCGAGAGGACCTTCCACGTAGACTCTCCAGATGAGAGGCGAGTGTGGTCTTTCATGTGGCCGCTCTTTGGGAGTGGTCAGGCCTGGTGTGAGGAGCAGGGCCCCTGGGCCCCCTGCCTAGGAGTTTCCCAGCTCAGCCCTTCTGAGAGCAGAAAGAGCAGGGGTTCTTTGTCTGCAGACCTCATTCGTGTTCTTAGACTAGCAGGTGCGTTGGAATCATGGGCAGAGCTTAACAGTACAGAGCTTTGGGCCCATTTCAGGGTCTCTCATGGGCCGCAGATCCCTGGAGGGTTAGAGAGCTGCATTTTTCATGAGCATCATCATTGATTTTGAAGCAGCTGGTCCAGAGAGTCCGTGTTAAAAAGATCAATTTAATCATCAGAAGAGAAGATACAGGTTTACTTAGTTCAAAAATCAAACCGTGTAAGGAGGTGTCTCTCACTTCTGCCCCGCCCACCCCAGCCCTTGAGCTAATGGCTCTGGTCCTGTGTCCTCAGAGAGCTTCACAGATGGATGAGCTCATTCAGGTAGACTTTGGCACCCTGCTCTGGTCTGGCGCCCCTGGTTGGTTCTTTTTACACAGAAGGTAGCGTTGTAAGCAGAACTTGCTTTTTTACTTCACGTATAGTGGGGAATCTGTCTGCTTTGAGATATTTTTTTATGTTTTTATTTATTTTTGAGAGAGAGCTAGAAACAGTGTGAGCAGGGGAAGGTCAGAGAGAGAGGGAGACACAGAATCTGAAACAGGCTTCAGACTCCGAGCTGTCAGCACAGAGCCTGACGCGGGGCTCGAACCCACGAACCGCGAGATCATGATCTAAGCGAAAGTCGGACACTTAACCGACTAAGCCACCCAGGCGCCCCGAATTTTCGTCTTAAATAGCTGCACACGTATGTCCCCAAGGTCACCTGACAGTTCTTTATGAGTGGCGATCGGTGAATGTCCCGGCTTGGGCTCGTGTCAGGCGGAGCCATGGCAAAGTCCCGTGTGCATATCTCGTGTGATACGTGTGTGGGTGAATCCATAAAGGGAATGCTTAGGTTTGGGATTCCTGGGTCACTGGGAATATGTGTCTGATTTTGAGAAGTGATTCTCTTACTTGATGTCTCAGAGTGTCCCCACAGCCTTTTATTCTCCAATGTTTAGATTTTTACCAGTCCTCTCAGCGGGAAATGGCACATAAGGTGGTTTTCACCAGCCTTGTTCTCTCTGTGGATGAGCTTGAGCGTTCATTCTCTCTCATGTTCAAGGGCCACGTGAGTTTCCCTTTCTGAACTGTCTGTTCATATCCCTTGTCTGTGTTTCTGCTTTGGGTTGGTCTGTTTCTTACTTCTGAAAGCTCTTCGTGTCTTAGAGAGCTAAGACCTTTGTGATGCGTAGCAAAGCTTTCTCCCCACTTTGTCCCTTTGGGCCTCGCTTTAAGAAACACTCCTTTGGCTCGTCTGGCGGGTGAGGCTTCAGCTGACCCCCTGGCGAGCCCATGAAAACAGCGCCGTCCACCACACGTGAAGGAACATTTACTGCCTGTGGTGTCCAAGAGGGTGGCCAGTAGTCACAGGTCCTGTTGAGGTTTTGAAATGTGCAGTGTGTCTAGTGCAGTCGAGAAATGGAATGCTTATTTAAGTATTTATTCATTGGGAGTGTGCACGAGTGGGGGAGGGGCAGAGAGAGAGAGAATCCCAGGCAGAGCCGGATGCGGGGCTCGAACCCACAAACCGCGAGATCAAGACCTGAGCTGAAGTGGGACGCTCAAATGACGGAGTGCCCCAGGCGCGCCTCGGTGGCTCGCCGCTTGGACGGCGTGCCTCTAGAGCACACACAAAACAGTATCATAAGATGTGTTTCGCAACATGTACTGTGACTGTCAGTGCGTGGCTTCCCAAAGTTAGAAGTACATACACCTGCTCCCCCGAGGGCAGTAGCACTGCCTCCTGTCCCGGGCCGCTGAGCTCCGTTGAAAGCTGGGGACAAAAACCGAGGACTGCCAGTAAAATCAGATAGATAGCAGCAGGTATACGGGACCCGGGTGTTGGAAGGTGTCGGGTGGGAAGGGGAAGGTGGCTCAGGGAAAGGGGACAGTGTGTGCAAAGGCCAGGAGCCGAGACAGCTTGTCATCACAGGGACCGCAGTGGGTTCTTTGTCATGAGAGAATCAAGGGCCTGGGGCCTTGGAAGAGAGGAAGCGGAGCTCAGCCAGGTCCTGGACTCCAGTCGGAGACCCCTCCCCCCCAGGGCTTGGCAGGCCGTGAATTAATGGAGGTTTGTCACAAGCCTGCTAAAAGATTGAGGGGGGTGATAAACAGGAAAGCCTTGAGTCAGCAGCACCAGGCACAAGGTCTGCAAGCCTGGAAAGGAGCAACGGGGGAGCCGGCAGAGCATTTTGGTGGCCGAGAGCCCCACTCCACTCTCCATTTTAGTGGGATTCTCTGCTCTTCAGCGTCAGGAAGGATCCCTTTACCAGGACGGAGACCCCCCACCTTGCCCCTTTTCTTAGCGCCTGCCACTGTTGCTGGTTGCTGCCGGCAGAGAAATCTGCCAGGGCTGCTCTAAGACCGCACTCCAGGTGCCTGACCTTAACCCTGGGGGGGTGGGGGGGTTGTGAGCTAGCAAGAGGAGGGCACTCACTGGTGGCTGTCCTCACTGGCCTGTCCCACGTGGGCCTGTGGCGGGGAGGACCAGCGGCAGCCACACTGGCCACCGGCGCTGTCGAGATGCCGCAGCAGCCTGCTCTCCGGGCTCCTGGTAGCGTCCCCAAGATTCCCCTCCACCCCCGCCCTCTTGCTTCAGATGTCTGGGAAGTGGAAAGACCAGTGTGAGAAGCGAACGCCCAGACTCCCGCACTACCTAGACTCAGCAATCCGCCACCTGCCGGGTTTGCCTCTGGCTTTGTTTCGTGCTAAACTGTGACCCTCCATGCATACCTTGTGACACTTTGCTCCCGAATACAGCAGCAGACATCGGACTTTCTCCTACAGAATCATGATGCTGTTACCACCCCCGAGGTGCCTGTTCACAGAGTAGTATTTACCAATCTCCTCTCCTTGTCCATGTCTCCTGGAATTTCCCCACTTATACTCAAAATGATTTTCAAACCAGGATTCATTCAAGGTACATGCTGTTTCTTTGGCCCGTTTAATCTCATGTCTTCCGTCTCCCTGGCCGCCCCCAACATTGATTTTTTTTTTTTTTGGACAAGCCAGGGAAGTTGTCTAATAGAACGTCTCGCACTCTGAATGTGTTATCTTACTGCATCTTGACTGTTTACCTTGTTCTCTCCGCCTTTATTTTCTGTAAACTGAAAATGAGGGCCAGAGCAGGGTTGGCAAACCACGGCCCCGCCCCAGCCCCAGCCTCCAGTTTTTACAAAGAAAGTTTTATTGGAACACGCCCTGCCCATTCATTTACAAGTCATCTCTGGCTGCTTTTGCCCTACTGTTGGCAGAGTTGAGTAGTTGTACCAGAGACCGTGTGGCCTACAGAGCCTAAAATATTTACTATTTGGCTTTTTACGGAAGTTGGTAGACCTCTGGTCTTAGCAGGTGTGCATAATAGTGCATCATGTTATTATCTTTTTTTTTAATCTTTTTTTTTTTTTAAGTTTATTTATGAGAGAGAGACAGCTGAGTTGGAGAGGGGCAGAGAGAGAGAGAGGGAGACACAGAATTGGAAGCAGGTTCCAGGCTTCCAGCTGTCCGCACAGTGCCTGATGCAGGGCTCGAACTCACAAACTGAGATCACGACCTGAGCCGAAGTCGGACACTTAACCGACTGAGCCACCCAGGCGCCCCTGTTATGTGATCTTCTTAATGTAAATCAATAAGATAAATGCAGTTTCTTTGCTTAGAACTCAGAGTGGTTTTTAGTCCCACTGGGAGTGAACTCCAGAGTCTGTACCATATTCTGCAGAGTGCTACATGATCTGGTCTCTCCAGAATCATTTCCCACTGCTAGTTCTCTCACTTTAGTCACAGTGGTCTCTCTGCTATTCGTAAACATGTCATATACACTTCCTGCCTCAGGACCTTTGTACTTACTATCCTCTCTGCTTAGAAACCTCTTCTCCAAGATAATCATTATAGTTCTCTCCTTAGCTTCATGAGATCTCTGCTCAAATGCCACCTTCTTAGAGTGTCCTTCTCTGCCCACCATGACTCTGCTGTTCTTATCCTGCTTTATTTTTCTTCATAGCACCTGTCTAACAGCTGTGACATTTTCTATTTATGTATTTCTGCAGGGAACGTAAGTAGGTGTTCAGTATGTGATTGTTGAATGAGTTAAAAGAATAATTAAAACTAATTCTCTATTGAGCCAGATTCTGTTCTAAAGTATTGTTTTCAAGGGAGTGAGCTGCTTCATTCATTCATTCATTCATTCATTCATTCATTCATTTAGAGAGCGCATGTACAGGAGGAGCAGAGAAAGAGGGAGAGAGAACCCCAAGCAGGCTCCATGCTCGATCACGGAGGCTTGATCCCACAAACTGTGAGATCATGACCTGAGGTGAAGTCAGGAGTCAGACACTTAACTGACTGAGCCAGCCGGGCACCCGTGTTCCGAGGTCTCTACGTATATTAACTCAGTTTATCCTTGCAGCATTTCCAGGGATAGTGACCGTGAAACTGAGGCACAGAGAGGTGGAGAACAAAGGAAAGAAGAGCTGAAGGGTGTGGATTTTCCCCACCAGGCAGCCCATCTGAGGGTGTCTGAACAGAGGGGACCCCAGATGCTCTCCGGCTGTCAGTGCCCCTCTGGATGGGGGGCGGGTCCCTGGTGAGGGAGAGAGGTCCCCCGTCTGCCATGGGCCAGGCGGTCAGCCGTTCCTCCGGAAGCTGCACTGAGGACAGGCCCGCCACCTGGGTTCAGTGGGCTTCCCTCCGGGGCGTCTCTGGTGCTGCCCGGCAGAGTAGCATGGGGCTGGGCCAGGGCTCCACAGTCAGACCAGCGCTGCGCCCCTCTTGCCACGGAGCTCAGGTCCCTGGCTGTGGTGACGAACAAAGGAGGAAGCGTCTGGGCCAGCCTGCCCCCGTGGAATTGAGCT